ATTTCTACACAATTGTCTACACAACATACTGAATGTCCGTTGGCCAGATACCATCAGCAACGACCTACTATGGAGGAGAATAAACCAACTTTCATTTGAAGAGGAAATTAGGAAAAGGTGTTGGAAGTGGATAGAACATACATTGAGGAAATCACCAGACTGCATCACGAAGCAAGCGCTAACTTGGAATCTTGAAGGTAAGCGGAAAAGAGGAAGGCCAAAGAACACACTACGTCGAGAATTGGAAACAGACATGAAAAGGATGAATAGCAACTGGAAAGAATTGGCCAGGACAGGGTTGGACGGAGAATGATGGTGGGCAGCCTATGCTCCTCCAGAAGAGGTAACATGTGTAAGTACATTTCACTACTGAGAAGGTATAAAACGACGATTCTCACCAAGATAATACTTTTGTAGAAACTGAAATGAAATAAATAAACATATACTCGTTACTCAATGAGTTTAGGATAATTTCCTGTCAGTATGGAGCACCAGTACTTGCTTATTCTATTATTAACCTTCATAAAGATCTGGCCCTTTTCCTGATAGAAATAGTGCTGGACAATGCATAGTATTTTTGGTGCAAATGTTAAAGGTAGAATCACTGTTAATTGATGTACAATTCTAGGATTTCAAGGTTACTTCGAAATACCGTTACCCTTAATTAAAAACAATATCCTGTGCGGTGTCAATCTGAATTACTATTTCTATATTTCATCTTTGTTTGTATACAGTTGTTGATTGGTGTTTTGAATCCGATTCCTTTACTTTTCACCTTGTTAATTTATTTTCTTCGTAATGATGTTAAAATTACAAGTGATCTTAAAGTAATTTACAGATACACTGACATTTCAACTAAGGTCAATCCGTAGCTGCTACCTTGCCTATCGTGATGATGCAACCGAGTTATATTGGCTGGGACATATGTTCCTGTGGGTTCTACCATGCCAGGCAGGTCGATTGGAGAACGGTAAGACTAAAAGCAGCAACTCAAGGTCTGAGGGCGAAGTCGTACTGCTGACTGTAGAAGAGTGTGACAGCACTAAGGTGTTTTCCTCGGACAACCAGCATCTGCAGCGATGCTGCCTTCTCACGAGGAGGGGAGAGGTTAGAAAAGGTCGACCCTAAAAGTGTCACACCTCAGCTTACCTCACGGATTTCCGTCTCCGGCGGTAGGGCCCTTTGATGAACGGAGCTAACACATTAACAACCTTCCACGAAAAGGCCGTGCGCAACTGGCCTCAAGCAGTTGTCCTTCGGGCTCTGAGGTCACGCTCCCAGGTCGTTAAGACCAACACTAATCCAATTTCCTTTTCAGATTCCTCAAGAAATACCCTTCCACGGTGTAGGCAGCCGGGAAGTGATATCAGCCCTCATACCCGTAACAGCACACAAGACCAAGTTGGTCAAATTCAAATCCTCCCTACACCTCCTAATACCTATCTTATCTCCATGACTAACCCTCCTCGTCTCTTTATCACCCAGCACCGCTAGGGCAAACGATTAGAGTACGCGGAACGCTATTCATGGTCTCCTGAAACCACGCTCTAAACTACACGTAGGGCCTTTTAACGTCCGAACACTGTGCCAAATAGGACAGCAGGCTTCCTTAGCTAGGACTTTAGAAACCCGCGTCATCGATGTGAGCTGCATCTCCGAAACGCGTATACAAGATCCGAGTAGCGTCATTCATTTGACTTCACCATGTCAAAATAACGAACCAACTCGATTCACATTTCGTGTATCTGAAAGCCCTGATGCTGCTTCCCTTGGACTCGCCGGCTTAGGTATAACATTGAGTCTTAGGGCATAATTAGCTCTCTTAGACTGGATCCCAGTAGACAGTCGTTCGTGCGCCGTCCGACAAAACGGAACAGTAGAGACTCGGAAGTATAGGGACACTCGTCGTTGCCTCTTCGTCGTCTCTGCCTACTCTCCCACTGACTGCAGCGCAGATGATGTAAAAGGTGAATTTTACAGGAAGATTTCCAACCTACTATGAAAAGCTAGGCGCTCTGATGTAATAGTGGCTGGTGACTTTAATGCTCAAGTAGGTAAACTAAGCGAAAGAGAAAGACACCTGGGTGGATCTTATGGTGTCGTGGCTCAAAGAACAGATAATGGCGGTCGTCTGTTGCAGCTATGCTCGGATAACCGCCTGTTTCTTGCAAATACTAACTTTGAGCATAAGGAAAAACATCTTTTGACATGGAGACCCCCTAATTCGTCCCAACATTGGACCCAAATAGATCACATCGCTATCAGCCACCGATAGAGGGGCTCGATAGAAGACTGTCTCTCATTCTGGAGCACATGCTTAGACTCAGATCATGCTCTAGTGCAAGCGCGTATTTGTATGCGTCTTACTGGACGTAGGAAAGACGCTGCAAGGAAACCTCTTAGGGTTCTACTTAATGATAGTCAAGCTAAGAGTATATTTGAGGAACAACTAGAGGAACAGTTAGGCAGCCATGTATGTGATGCCCACCCCGAGGCAGCATGGAATGACATCCGAAAAACTGTGGAAACAGTAGTGACGTCTGCAAGTACGGTAAACCATAAGGTAAGGGAGAAACACTGGACCACAGCAGCATCTACAGCACTGATAGATGCTAGAAAACTCATCCCATTTGGCTCTAAACATGACAAAGAGCGGAATCAGCTTAAGCGCAAGCTGACAAGAAGTCTACGCAATGATCGTGAACAGTGGTGGGTAGCGAAAGTAAGAGATGGAAAAGGCAATGGCAATAAGTAACAGCAGATAACTGTTCAGACTTGTCAATGAAACCGGTATTAGGAAACCGACTGTTAGCGAAACTATCTCGGAAAAAGATGGACATATTATTCATTCTCAATCCAGGAGATTGGATCGATGGGCAGAACACTTTAGGGATCAGTTCAACTGGCCTTCAGCCACACATCGGTTTCCCACGATCTCCAGTCGACCTGAATGGAAAGTTGACGTAAGTCCTCCAACTCTCTACGAAGTTGAAAAATCTATGGGGAATCTGGAGTGAGGGAGAGCAGCAGGTCCTGACAGGTTTACCCCTGAGATTTTTAAGGATGATGTTTCAGTATTAGCAGCAAGATTGACTGAGGTCTTAAGCAGAACCTGGGAACTGGACGTAATCCCATCTGACTGGTCTCAATCACTGATTGTGCCGGTCTATAAGAAAGGACAAAAGTTCTCTTGTGACAATTACAGAGGAATCAGTTTGACTAATATAGTGTCTAAAATATTAGTTTCAATAATTCTTCGACGCCTAACTAAAGCTCGTGAAGAACAGACTAGAGAAAATCAGGCTGGTTTTCAACCTGGACGTGGTTTTATAGACCAGATATTCACACTATGTCAGGTCCTAGGACATAGATACACACTCAGACGCCCCACAATCGTAGTATTTCTCGACTTTAAGGCGGCATTCGACTCTGCTGATCGTTTCTGTGGAAGTGTTTGCCACTGAAAGGAGTACCAAAGAAGTACATTAACCTTATAAAGGCTCTCTACTCGAACACAACTGGTCGAGTGAGAGCTTATGGCGAACTGTCATCAGAATTGATTACCTCAAGTGGTGTTCGTCAGGACTGTCCACTCTCTCCATTCTTGTTTAACTTTGTCGTTGACATGCTTCTAGAGATAACACTTTCCTCATCTAAATTTCCAGGGGTTGAACTTCTACCAGGAGATTCACTTGTTGACTCAGAATATACTGATGACCTAGTTCTATTTGAAGACGCTGACAAAATGCATTCTGACCACTCTAAGCAACAATGCAAGCATGTTCGGGATGCGATTCCCCCCCTCGAAATGCAAAATGTTGCTTCAGGATTGGGTTGCATTGACACCCGAACTAATGGTAGGGAGTGAAGTAGTTGAGTGTGTCGACCGCTTCACTTATCTTGGAAGTCTCATCAGCCCTTGCGGTCTGGTGTGTGACGAAATCTCAGCACGCATACAGAAGGCTAAACTAGCTTTTGCCAACATGCATCATTTATGGAGTAGGCGAGATATCCGTCTGTCAACCAAAGGACATGTTTACTGCTCAGCAGTTCGTTCCGTCCTACTTTATGGCAGTGAAACATGGCCGGCAAGAGTAGAGGATATTCGTAGGTTACTAGTATTTGATCATAAATGTCTTCGAAACATTGCTCGTATATCCTGCGACCACCGGATAAGTAATGCAGTTGGTAGGAAACCGGTACTAGGTAAGGATGGCGAATCCATTGATGAAGTAGTGAAACTTCATCAGTTGAGATGGCTGGGACATGTGTTACGTATGCCCAACCACCGACTACCCTGACGTGAGATGCTTTCTGGTGTAGGAGTACGTTGTAAGAAAGCTAATGGCGGTCAGACTAAAACATGACACAAATCCATGAAGTTACTGACAAGTGAACTGAGCCATGTTGATTGGTGTAGACTACCTGGTTGGGGACCGCGAGATGATAGCAACCGATGGTTAGAGACCCTGAATGACATGACTCAAAATCGTTGGCAATGGCGCAGGTGCATACACTCTTTGTGTTCTCCCAAATTCTAATCTTCTGAATTCTTCATGTCCCTTATTTTCATTCCAAATTTCTTTCACTGGATTATACTCCTTGAATAACATCTTCAAACCCTAATCTTTCCGATTACTGCTTTTACTCTTACTACCTCTACCACTACGGGATTTCGATCGACAAATACATCTCTGTGCTAATGTGGCATGGCAATTAAAACTGATTTACGTACGTACGAAGTTCTACGTTATTACTTACTGACTTTAGACTTTATCAAGTCATGTTGTAATATTTCACTGGGAATAGGAGTAGTGAGGACTTTACAACAAAGATATTTTTGATTACCACTTACAACGAATAAAATAATTCTGTAAAGAAATATGAGAGAAATTTTATTTTAAAAATATGTCCTTGGTTGATTTGAGTATATATAAAAACAAAAGTAAAACTAGTCCCTGACAAAAACGTCCCTCATTTATTTTGATATACCCACATTGTCATCGTCTACGCTTTGGAGTTGGTGACCGTGAAACTGAATGTAGCCCGGACCTGCTAAAATAATAAACAAAGATAATAAACTATTTAAATTATAGATTTTCACATAAACAGGAAAAATACATTGATATTTTCAGGTAAAGACTACAGAGAATATTACGAAGAACTTATATCATACAATCAAAAAACTAAGATGAAATTTTTAACAAACGGTCGTTCCTATGTACTGATTTCCATGTATTTCTTATTTCTAATTATGCAAATGAATACGACAAATATGCTCAATAAATGTAAAAATTTCATGATTTTCTGAAGATTTTATACTATTTGAAGGTAATTGTCACCACAGACTTATATTAACTAAGCCATATGGCTTTGAGTTATCTGGTTGCTCTTACCGAAACATGTACAGATGGAATTAGAACCTGTTACTTAATTGTTGAAAGGTGGGTTTATTCATCATTAAGCCACTGATCTCAACGGCACTGGACAAACATTTTGTTTCAGATAAGTGTTCTTCAGCCGAGGACATTGATGACCCAACTAGTTCTTTAGCAAAACTTAGTTAATGGTGAAAATTATTCTCGAATAAACATGATTTACGTTTTTGCCTAGGCATGATGCTGAGCCCAACGTATATGATTGGTTTACATCAATCCATAGCTCCAAGAAATGGATATTTTTGTCATATACTGTAAAACTACAACTATTGGTGTTTCTACATGAAAGAAATAGTTATCGATTGATCTATATTCTTTGTAAATCAAATATACCTCATGAGTATACGAACTGCAATGTATGCATAGTGAGTGATGCATTGTTACGATTAAAAAGGTATTAATCAACTGAAAAATAAACAATACTTATATGATTCAAGCACATTTTAAGTAAGATTCAATTGCTCAGAAGTCAGTCATTAAGCGAGGTGCTTACTTGACATAAGACAACTATACAAAGTATGAGACTTACGTATTAGATTGACGCATCTTTTCGGGAGACTGATTTGTAGAAGTGCAAGTTGAGCAATATGAAGAGGAACGTGAAGATGAGGATGAACAAGATGATGATGAAGATGAAGGGACATCTGGAAAGTGCTCGGAGAGATTTATGTTGTCTGCGATCTTCGCTAAATCAGGTCGATTAATTCTGAGAGCAGCTAACCACCTTTTAGCAAATTTTGGTCTTTTCCGTGCAGTTTTGTGCCATACAATAGGAAAGTTAGTAGAACTAGAATTATTAGGAAAGAAAAACTGAGTGGCCATTGACAAAGAATATATTTATTTGAACATATAAACATTGGTACAAAGGGGCACAAAATACATATGCACCACACAATAACAATGAGGCTAGTAGCAGTTATCATTAATTTGTGTGAGAGCTGTGATACTGCCCGGATGCCCAAACTGAAGCAGGTGGTTTTCTTAGAGGGTCACACCCGGAGCCTTTGACCTCAAGGTCTGATCCACAAGGCAGTGGGGCATCGTAAGGAGATGCATTCCCATGGTATCCAGTGACCAATGATTGGTTCGTACACCATTTGTTTCCTAGGGATACTGGAGCTCATGTACACCATTGGTTTGGAATCAGGGTTTTCCAAATCCCCTAGGTGGACCCTCCGTGTCCACCGACCCAGTTAAAGCGCCAGACACAAAATCCCCAAACCAAACTTCGTAAGAACATTTTCCACAACTAGGCTGCAATGGCAATCAAGTGTATTTAATCCACAAAGCTACTTATAATTTGCCTGTTAGTTTTTTATATGAAAATATAACATTTAAAGCTAACAGGATAAAAATAGCGAGTTCTTTGTCATATTGGTTAAGGGGATTTACATCACAGGAAGGTGAGTTATCACAAGTCATCAAAACATGTAGTCTTGATGTGCATCATATAGCTCTGGATAATCTAGTATTTAGAAAATCACATTATGAACTATCGACCACGCAAATGTGTAACCTTTACAAACTTTTCGAATGGGTATCATACTAACCTGCAAAAGTTTTGCGTAACAGCGATGGTGTTAGTTAGGTTAAGAACAACATGCCACCAACCACCAGGAACGAAGACCGTCTCCCCAGGACATTGAAGTATTTCAAGAGGGGCATACTCTGTTGGCCAGTCAGATGCTTGTGTGCGTGGATATACATACACGAACCAAGAGATGGCTTCGTTTCGATTCTTGCCACCATCAGACGGTTTCGGTTTAACCAGTTCTTTTGGAGTTCGCGGTGGAAACAAACACCACCTAAAAGGGATTATAGTTAATACGCATTTTGAAATAAGCTTGAAACAAAAAGAAATAGACATTGAGAGTGAACGAAGTTAATTGAAGTGAGATAACAATGAAATCCTTTTAACATAAACTAAATGTGATTATCCTTGATGAATTTAAAAGCTGACGAAAATGGCTATTTGTTCGGCACAATTTACACAAAGTACTGCTACTATTTAAACATACATAAGGATACTTTACAGGCTGGAGATATCAAATGTACAAAGTGCATCATAGCAATTGGGTACGGTTACACACCTAAATTTGAATAGATGAATTATTCTAATCTTTCCACTTATTATCACTCATATATTTGTCTTTGTCAATTACTCAAGTGTAACATTAATTATGTTTTATAAATCTTTGAACGATGAGAGTGTGTCGATTTGAATCCTATATTATTCACAACTTGGAAAACTGAGTCAACTATAACTCTCAGAATCGGTAGATAGATAGATAGTCAATCACAACGTAGAATCTGTACATCTATCCAAGTTGCCATACCACATTAGTACTGAGATAAACTTATCAGGTCAAATCTCAGAATAGTAGAGGTAGTAACAGTATCAGTTGTAATAGAAAAGGTTAAGCATCGAAGATACAACTCGAAAACGAAATATAAATTAGTGAAATGAAAACAAGTAAAGTTACAAGAAATTCAGAATCGCAGGATTTGGGCGGAGACAAATAGATAGGACAGATATACAGGATGGGGTAGGACATTATAACTTGTGGTCTTGCGCCCTATTAATATATAACCGATCGAACCAAATGACGAATAAACCCGTACGAGCAGTCTAGAGTCTTTATCGGTCCTTCTTCCTGTCTAGACCTGCCCGTCGAGTCCAGAATACAAATCTCAGCCTCCGCGATGTGAATAAAATGTTTCAAACATACTGGATTTATATGCAAACCAAACAGACCGCAACACATCATAAAATGGAAAATAACATTTGTACAAGATCAAGCCAAAAGTGGCTGTGATTGTGGGAGACTGTAATTAATAAACTGAGCATAACTTAAGAATGGTATATCGCATAATAATAGTCTATAGGTCAAAACAAATCTTATAATAAGAGGAATATGAACATACATATTTTAGCTACTTGACAATTATACAATAAAAATATATGTATGGTATTAGCCCATAAATGGATTCCAGCAGTCACTATTCATTATTCTCGTCGGGATATAACATGGGGTAGGATAAGATAGATAGTACAGGTTAGAATCAGTTAGTCATTCCTTATTTCCGAAAAGCATATAGACTGAATAAGAAGTTGGTTGAAGATGTCTATGATTGTTTATACTTAGAGATAACATTAGTTTAAAGATTTACTGATCCAATCCACAAAAGCATTCCCAAGCAGCACAGTTTGGGCTCATAAAGTCAGCTTAATAAATAGTTTTAGAATAATTGGTATCTCACAATAAGCAGAATTGGATGTTTCCCTTGATTTTCTTAAATCTTCCCCAACTTCTGCCTCTCTGTACCTTTTTCAACAATAACAACATATTATTTACTAACATTTATGATTCTTGATACTTTCTGTTTGGAAATGAAGTGTGGAGAATGGCACCGGTACGTCACGCATATATATATATATATATATATATATATATATATATATATATAATGCTTAAAACAAAACTAATAGAGTTAATAATGCTCCTAAAAGTTCCAGGTAGTGTTAAGCATAGAGACCTAGATACTGGAAAATGAACTTAAATTGATCTGGAAATATCCTTATATGAATTTGTAATAGGTTGCGACGTTACTGTAAATAATAATGATTTTCAGAGTTAGTCTAGTTATCAATTCAACTTTTGGTTAAATACTCTGGTTCCATTGATTTAGTGTGAAAGTACTGTTATTCAAAAGATAACATGGGTAGTCCCACTGACCAACTAATATTAGAAGTTTGAAAGGAATTCACAGTAAAGAAGAATTCTGTGCATAAAATGAAATAAATATACTTTAGTAATCATTTATATGTCCTTACCTTGACGTATCAGGAATAGTGTAAGTGCTAGTAACAATGAGAAGGATGGTCATTTTGCCCTGTGTACCTGTTCTCAATCAACATTTAGCTTTTAAGAAAACTAAAGCTTGGTGTTTGACCTGATTTATTTACCACTTTATAATTAACAGGAATACGTTCATAAAGTTCTTCAACTATGCTCATAATGGGAAACAAAGTAAAACCAATCATTGTGGATCAAAAGTACATCACTTGGAGCAATTACCTTTTGTATCCTCTTACTAGTGCATTCCAAGCACTTGTTCCAAGAGGATCAATATGTATACCCGTACCAGAACGTGGAGGACCCATTACAAACCATCTGAATGCAAAAGATGAAAATGGTTTTATGACAATGATTAGAAAAGTAAACTGTAGTAACAGCGATGTTATGGCCCCTACAGAGACATCTAGGGCTAATAACGAGTATGAAATTAAAGATATAAACAAAATTAGTCAAAGTACAGAATAAAAAGCACTAAAGCCGTTTTAACTATACCTTACATGGATTAAGAAGAAGGGTGTTTACTTACTAACCTGAACACAAAAATTTATTACAGTCGGATAACAAGAAATCCATCACACAAAACACACGGATGATTTTGTGAGTAAATGGACAGGGGAAAAAATAGTAAGAACAATAAATACAACTCAGATAAGCTAGTGTTTATGCAGTAATTTCTCGATGTTTTTATTTCAGATCACCGTAATGTCTGAGGCATATAATATACGGAATCCTACTAGAGGATTTTATTTATTTGAACAAATAAATATTGGTACAAGGGGGCACCATAGACATATGCGCCACACGAAACAATGAGAATAGAAAGAGAAAAAAGAAGGCAAGGTAGGTGTAGCAAAAAAAGAACAATAACGACCACAGATTAAAGGTAGTGTAATAATAATAATAATAATAATAATAATAATAATAATAATAATAATAATAACGATGATAATAATAATAATAATAATAATAATAATAATAATAATAATAAGCAATAACAGTAATAATAATAATGGGGGAGACGGAAAAGTACAACCAGAAAGAATTCTTTCAGTTAAAGAAGTTACGGTCACTTTTTATTAAAAAAGTAAAAAATTACAGCAGGATCGCCACTGGCTTCTATTCTGAGCCATATCTGATAACGTCTCTAGCCACTGTGTAGCACCATCTCTAGGACCCCAACCAGGGTGTCGTGAAGAACCAACAGAAGCTAGTCCTGTGCAGCTTCCTCCCATACCACGACACCATGTCATACACTGACCACCTCTCCGCTTTCTCTAACCAGTCTCAGCGTCGGTAAATAATGCACGACGTGGAATTCTCTGGGACGGCATTCTTAGAACGTGTCCAAGCCACCGAAGTCGATGTTTCAAGATGGTGACACCAATTGGATTATCGTCTCTGCGCCCGAACACACGACGCCGAACCCCTGCATTACTCACATGGTGTCGCCATTGGATGTCAGCAATCCTTCGGAGACAATGGTGATCAAAAACAGAGAGTCGTCTAACATCCTCAACTCGGAGGCCGGGTTTCACAAGCATAGAACAAAACTGCTCTCACCGACGCGTTGTAGGCCCGACCTTTTACAGCCAGACTGACAACACAAAGGCCCCAAAGGTGGCCAAGATTGGTTCATACGCCATTTGTTCCCGCAGGATACTGGAGCCCATATGGACCATTGGTTTGGAATCCAGTTAAAGCGCCGGACATTCGCTTTTCGTCCTCTCAATTTCGTAAACAACACCCCGCCAAGAGAAGGCAGTGAGTAGGACTTCCCCGGCAGAGGCTGTATACGCATGGCCATGTGAGAGCATTTCGAGAGGGGGCGGGCCCACCCCACTCTCGGCCATACCAGGGCATTTGGGGGTACCCAGGTGCGTGAACTTCTCGTCTACTTCTATATGCTCACTACCCAGAGTGAGGGCAGGATCAGGGTCCTGTCAGTCTTGTAAAAGTACTTTACACTTCGAAGGTGCAAAGCACATGCCTTGTCTACAAACAGTGATTGCCAACTGATTAATTGCGGATTGCATGGCTTGAGCATTATCGCACAGTAGGACAATATCATCCGCACATACAAGGTCGAAAAGTCTTTCTCCAGGCAACAGATCCACACCGCCATTACTTACATCCATCAGAGCCGTTTCCAGAATGTCATCGATGGTTAAGTTGAAGAGGAATGGTGAGATTGGGCAACCCTGCCTAACCCTACTGCTTGAGTGGAACAGTGGAGCGAGGTGGTTACATGCTCTCACTCTGCCTGAGGTATTTGTATATGGGGCTTTTGGAATGTTAATAAACTTCTCAGGCACACCCTTCTTCAATGGACAATCCCAGAGAGCAGTACTGTCCGACGAATCGAAGGTAGCCCTGATGCCAAGAAACACTACGATTGTTGGCATGTTGTAAGTATGACGATGTTCCAACATTTGGTGGAGGGTGAAGATATGATCAATACATCCTCGACTAGAACGAAACCCAGCCTGCTCCCCGCGAGTCAATCTTTCTGGGGTTCTGAACAATCTACGAAGTATGACGGAAGCCAATAGTTTGGACGCAATCGGAAGTAGACCTATTCCCCAATAATTTTTGGATATATCAACCCCCTTCATTCCATGACATTGGGACACTCTAGCTCCCAGACCTTTGTAAACAACGTCGTTAGTTCCTTAGCCAGAAAGTCACCACCAGCTTTAAAAAGAGTCGGAGGTAAGTCATCTGGGACCGGTGATTTGTAGAGCTTCGAGAGTTGGAGTTCCTTGCGGACTTCCGCCTCATTTGTTGGATCAGTCGTCACCGGTCATGGAGGGCAGGACAGTCTGACTGATGTTGCCGGAGCAGCAGGCCAGTTGAACTGCCCTTCAAAAAAATCCTGCCCATCGTCCAAGACGTCGATGGATGTTAGTGATTGGCATCCTGTCATCCTCACAGATTGTTTCGCTCACACCAGACTTCTTGCTGCCGTTGGCTCGGATGAGTTGGAAGAGCTTCCGGTAGTTACCAGATGCAGCCGCTGCTTCCAGCTCATTAGCACGCTCCGACCACCAGGTTTCTCGGTCCTTACGCAGGCTTTGCCCGATTTCATTACGTAACAGCCTTCGTTTGTGGTCAAACTCACGGTTACCCAGAGTAGACCGACGGGCTTCGATGAGTTGTAAGGAGCCTGAAGAAACCCAGTGCTTATAAACGGGACGTTTCGCGAACCCACAACTGACCGTACTCGCCATTTTCATGGCGTCATGCAATTGCAACCAATGCTCATCCATACTTTTCGGTGGAATGGTAGCTAGCCTAGAAGCTAGCTCGGTTCGATACTTACTTGCAACAGAAGTTGCTACCAGCTTGCTAACATCAATCCGTTGGTGGCGGTCAGTTCGTTGTGCTGATGCGGTATGGCAACCTGGACCGATGCACATATGTGCCTGGTCCTACGTTGTAGCTGACTAACTGACTGAGACGGTCCCCGTTATCTGACCTGCGACCAACGAGTCCCCATCGGCCACCTTAACGACTCTCTTCTGTGCCTAGACGCCCGACCTGAGCATTCAAGTCTCCGGCTAGTACTACAATATCTGTCGAACGCACTTTCTGGAGAACAGATAACTGGTGGTAAAACATCCTTGATTGCATCCGGGCTGCAATCTGCCGGGGCATAGGCGGAGATGACGAAAAGACATTGTTTCTCAAGCCGATTTCTTCTCACTTTGATGGAACTTTCTAATCTAACAGCACATAACCGACTGTTAATGGGGATCCGATCGATTAGTGCTGCCTCAGCTCTAGCGCTTAGTGCGACATCAACGCCAGCAAGACCAATCGAAGATGCCACAGGGTCCCCGGATAAACGCACGTAAAACAAGCCTTTTGAAGCGACAGATGGAGAGCGAATTTGTAGTACTTCACCAGAGTCTTGAATACGGGTCTCGGATAGACAACAAACGTCGATATCAAGACTTTCTAAAGACATACCCAACCCTATCTGCTGTCCGATCTGCATAAGTGTGCGAACGTTGAAGGCAGTCAGTTTGAATGGTGCACGTGGTTTCAGAAAAACTGTTTCAGTATTCGTGTTCAATGGAAGTATTCAATTTTTGACCAGTCAGTGACTCGAGATCGTTTAGATAGAACAGTTTCAACCATGGACGAGCTGCTATATAAGTTGGAAAATGGGGATATATGAAGTAAGAATAGAGGTAGATAAGTGATGTAGTATACAGAAAATAGTAATAATGATATAGATGAATTTTATCAAGTGGATGTGAAATGTCTGTGTTCTGATCAGAGCGAACATAGTACTTTGTCATCTCATCAGATTTATGTGAGGGCTGTGATACTGCCCGGATGCCCAAACTGAAGCAAGTGGTTTTCTTAGAGGGTCACACGCGGAGCCTTTGACCTCAAGGTCTGATCCATAAGGCATCTCGGCCGTACCAGAGCATTTGGGGGCAATAAATGTTAATCAAAGCATAGCTGTATATACAGTGAAATATTATTTACGATTGGCTTTCAGAATACACTTTGCTAGTAAGATGATGGTTGGAGGTAGTCAACAGGAAACCCTGGACCTAAGTTTTATGCTACTTGGCACTCGTCAGCAAGGTGCACCTGTAATCTTTAGGGAACTGATGCTCTCTGACGGATCCGATCCCGTGTCGCCCAGCCTCATAGTCAGAGACGTTACCACTGAGCTATCTGGGCCGCCTACTATAGGAATTAAATCAGGTTTAAAAATCGTACTATTTTGATCTCCCACAAACTACACACATGCTTATTGTTAAGGGTATGTACGGATGTGGTAATCTACTACTGCCGAGTAACATCATTGAAGTCATAGTCAGGTAACATAATCAATTTGAAGTTTGTTTCAGAAAGAAAGCAGCTAAAGGACCATGAAATCAATGTAAAACTCTAAGGAGAGAATCTAACAACACTTTATTGCTTTCTTCATGGTCAGTGGAAATTTACTGACGAAGTTGGTCGCTTGCTATCTTTTTCAATCCAATTGAGCTACATTGTTTGATTTTTAAATAGGCCTTAGTTTGAGAAAAAGAAATAAACAACTTGTTTAAATTAATGGTTACAAAGAAGTGGGTGTTCACTCAAATCACTAGTAGATTTATCATGTAGTTATGGTTAATCAGATTGTGTAACTTAACTACAACGTACAAGATAAACCTACCTATAAGGAGGTCGCGTTTTCTCTCCACCCAGAGAAAATAAATCTTCTTTGAAATACCGACATATCATATAATCATTCAATAACTTTTTACGCCTTGAATGCTATTAATAGTAAAACAAACAAATAAGTCGCACTTGCTTCTCCATAGTTCGCATCAAATATATACAACGGACTATCATCTTCGTTTTCCTTCATATATCGAATAAAATACTTCATTTTTAATTTAACAGGACAACCTTTATCATCTTCACCACATTTGAACCTCTCATTGTGATACTTTTTATCCAAAAGCTAGAATATGAAATAGTCTACACAATACAAACTAAATACCTTTAGTGTCCAATTTTCACCAGCCTTCCAATCTGTTTGAGCGTTATGAATTACGACAGGTTGGTAAGGGTGTTCATATTCAGCTACAAATTCTTCATAAGCAACTTTGCAAGCATCAATACGTGGACAACAATCATGGACAGTACTTAGAGACAAGTTGAAGTTATCCGCATATTTACAAGAATACCAACTATGTGGAGAGTCGCCAAGTTCTGATCTGGCTTTTAGTTTAGCCGATCGAATTCTGCGTTCATATTTACTGCGTTTCGATGACATCTTAGATGTGAAAAAAACATTTCCGAGAAAATGATTTATCATTATTGATTAGACAATCTTACTTAAGTTAGAATAATCAGAAATTTGTAGCATTTAATCGTTTTGTCACCCGTTCTAAACTCTATTAAGGATTTTATTCTATGTAGAGTTTTGCAAAACTAAAACAATCTAGATGTTATTGACACAAAACGAAAATACTGATAATATAGAATCTTCTCTTGACATCTCAGAGCCATACCTTAGTTACAAACAAACAAAAATGCACAAACTGAATAATCTATTTTGAGGTTACCTGATATATCACATACTTCCTCGATCATATAGGATGGGAAATGTTTATATTCACCACCAGGACAGAGGGTCACTTAATTAGCATCATTGACCTTTGGCGTTACTGGTCAGACTTATTTATGGACAGCTTTTGAGCGACACTAAAAAGACCTTTAGAATGCCCATCTACATACTATGGCTAAATGAGGGTTATAAACCAGTGTAAGGAATTAGGGTTGATTATTACCATTGATAGTTGGGGTTAGGAATTCAAGACCTGTTGTCATAAATTTGATTGGTTCATTCGGACTGCTATATGATTACCAGTCTTTGCTGTTTATTTATTAGTAATACTGACCCCAAAAAGTGGTGATTCACAGGTGAAATCGAATACAAAGTTTTGCATGCTCGCTCCTTAACCAGGTTTTTACGAAGAATTCAGTTGTACTGATCCAACCAGTTTATCACTTTTGAATAGATGTTTCATTTTCTAGACACTTAGTAACAAAGTCCGGACCCTCGTTTATAACTCAGGATCGTCAAAATGGTTTGCCTTGCCCTGATACCGAAAGCGGAACTTACAAGCCCCAACCAAATTGCGTAGGTCTGACGAAACATCTAAATGGACAGTAACATTTGCCTTGACAACTATCGCTGTCTCGAGTAGTAGTCTGATCAAAATACCAGTGAGACTAGTTTATGGACGACTTTTAAGTGGTGCTCAAGTGATCTTGAGAATGCCTACTCACTCCCTAGGGTTATAAATTAGTAAGGAGTTAATTAGAATCTACAGCTGGTTGTTGGTTAATATCGGATTTAGTGCCAAAATGCTATTTAGCCATGCGGACGAATGAACTTCGCACTTAAATCCGAAACTTATCTCAAATCTGACCAGTTCTTCCACAAATTATGGTTTAGCTGCTGCTGTTGGGTTTCTAATCCACTAACTCAGCCTAATTTATTAGTCTTTAGGCTCCTCAATATTCGTTAAGTATTTAGCTGATTACTAGTTCATGCAAGAATATATTTTCAAAAACGACTTGATGCTTAATCTCCGAATTGCTTCTCCTAACTATATGAATTAAAAGTCATCATTGAAGTTACTTTATTATCTAGGTCCTCAGTTATAACAGCATACATCCTAACACTTCCCCTACTAAAATGACTCATACATTACAATTTATGGACGATCTGGAGCAGTTCAAAAACGGCCTCTCGCCATTTCAACCACTTGTTGAGTTTAAAACGCATTTAAGGTCATCATGAACAGACATTAGGTATGAGGATGCGCCACAGTAATGTGCGTCATAGTTCGTGTCAGATCATTATGAAAACCCAAACTCTGAGTCCTAACCCTAGCATTACAAATCATTCATATATATATTGGCTATTTTCCTGATGACTAAACATGCCATGAATTTGTTACGGTCGTTTAGTGGGTTGCTTTGGATTACTCTTACAATCCAGCTTTGACTCAAAGGTATTTATCTAGGAAAGTCTTACTATGGTCCCCCAAAGCGCTAGCAGCACAACTGCAGTAAACACGCACGGGATTTAAAAGACGAGCTTTGTATGACCTTATTAGAGAAGATTAACAAAAATCAATCACTTCAAATAACTCTGAACAGAAAAGAAGGAACCTTCGCTTGACAGGCTTCCTTACCTGGAAGCAGTGAATCACCGATAATTCCAGGTAGGAACCTAGATTTATATGACCCGTGAAATTCCGGAACTCCGGGTTTATCATACAAAGAGCGGCTTGAAAAACTGGACCTCTTTACTCTGTCCTATCGCAGACTAAGGGGAGATCTAATTTTGATGTACAGAATACTGAGAAATGATTTCGGACCTAACTTATTCTCTCTCTTTCTCCCCACCAGATCGGGACACCTCAGGGGACATAGCAGGCGAGTAGAAAAGCCCAGAATGAGTGAAATACCCGTGGCATACAGGTTTTCACGCCGATTCATCAATACTTGGAACCTGATGCCTGAAGAAGTGGTGTCCGCACCTTCAGTTGACTCTTTCAAGAGAAGACTGGACACTCAAAGAAGCATACTAGAAAAGGAATAACATAGGCCGTAGGCCTTCTGTTCTTACTACACCAATCTGAATCTGAAAAGAAAAAATATGTTGGCACATAATGAAGGGATATTGTCTTTGGTCTTTAATATTATGTCAAGCTTCCTCTTTAGACACTTCTGTGAAGTCGCTTAAACCAGCTCATCACGTAAAAAATTCCAGAATCTGACTACACGTGAAGAGTAAAAGGTGTGCCTACAGTTCGTTCTGTTGTGTTGTGTCTCCGATTTCTGGGTGTTGCTCTTAAAATTTGTGTTGAAAATGAGCTTATGTGGATATTTAAATGAATCCTCAGGAGTATTTAAGGTCCTGTAAGTCATCAGGAGGTCATCTCTGAGACGCCTATATTTTAATGTGTAAGGGTTTGAGGATGCCACAGGTATTCGGAGTTTGACAACGCCGTAACCAGTAACGCCTAATATGAATCGTACCCACCCAGTAAAATCAAAAGACAAAGGCGGGGAGGTTCGAAGATGTATTTGATAGGCTATCAACATATCGGGGATCGTCTGATGTAATCTGGCTAGTGATTGCAGGGGATGTTGAACACGGCGTTCCCACTCGTAATCTGGTGCGGATGCATGACCGAGCGCCTTTAGCTAGGTGAGTCCATTAAACTAATGTGGTCAGCATCCAATGTCGAACACTTGAAGGGCTATTTGTTTTGGGGATTTATTTACCGCTACAGGTTCAGTCATTTGAGGAGCTCTTAATAAGGTTTGAATTCGGGTCTTCGAAGTGACTCCGTGACTCGCCGCTGAATACGTTCTAATGTATTCTTATCCTTTTAAAGCGAGGGAGGAAACATTATATTTCCTTGCTCTAAATGGGGCCGAATAAAGCTGTTAAGGATCGCGTGGGAAGTTCTACTAGTGAAGTGGCCAAAAATATACTTCAAGGTTACTTCACTAAATACTGTGGCATGTGTTGTTAATAGCCCCTACTACGATTTTGGTGTGACTCGTCAGTTTTCGCAGAAAAAAATCTTTCGTGTCACAAGTGGTAAATTTTCAATACCCAATATCTTTAAGGCGAGTCGATTGGTTTTTTACATCCACTTGTTATTCCGGTACAGTTCCAGGTCTTTGACAATATCCATCAAGTGGTAGTCTAGCCGTTCGATCACAACAATCTTAGTTGTTATGTTAGACACTTGTGAGTTCGTTTGTCTATGTCTCGCGGAGTGTAATGGTGAGGTTTTAGTACTGCGGCGCGTGCTACTTATGCTGAAAAATTTAAGTGGTGTACACCATCAATCAGAAGTAGAATGTCTGCCGGCAGAAGACTGAAATCAAAACAGGATTGAAACGGCAGAGCAGTCAAAATAATGGCAAAATTAGAGGATCAGTGAAGTATATAAAGGACAACCCAAAAAAGTTGTGCAAATAATATATTTAATATATGATTTCCGTATTTCACTGAACGACTGCGTTATTTCGCGTTTAAAACTAATTAGTTTACCAGAGGCTTTACCAGAGAGAAACGTTAGGTGATAGGTCATCATCACAGTTTTTAAGCAACGTTCAAGTCTTAGTGGGCGACAACACAGTGGGTGAAGCAGATATAAAACAAGGATGAACACAAGCTCTCCCATGCTATGTCCAACACTGTTTGGATGCACAAGACCCTGACACCTATTTATCTCAGCGCGTATTATAGGTAGAATATTGGAAAGAGGTCCGCCAACTGGATACATCATGCACAAAAAGAATCTTCGAAAGACTCAGCCATAGCAGGACTCGTTGTGAGTTTGAAAAGTCCCAAAGAGGTTGTTACCAAATCGTAAATGCGTCACACAGATAAGAGCAGGTGACCACAACGACCGAGATCCAAACCAAAGGACAGGTCACAAATGTGACAATCTGGGCAGGTCTATTGGTATTAATAGAAGCTTGGGGTCGAATCACTCAGGTGTAGTCGACTATGCGCACGGCCTAAAAAGACATATATATATATATGTTATGTGTTAGACAGAAATTCAGCATGAACTTTTTGGTGAATACTGGTGCTGCTCTCAATATCATTCCTTAGCAAAAAACTGAGTTGGGTGGAGAAACTTTCCTCAATTACACTTCAAGCGGCCAACAAAACTAAATTCACGACGTTTGAACAGAAAACTTTGACACTCGATTTGGGATTTACCAGGCGATTCTCTTGGGTTTTCACTGTAGCTGCTTTAGATCTAACAATACTTGGAGTGAACGTTTTAGAGAGATATGAACTACTAGTCGACACCAGAAAACGGTTTTTGACAATGAAAGGAAGTTTGAGTAGCACGGAAGGAGAAGAGTTACATCACTTCCTTAAGTTTGATACAAACGCCACCAGCGAAAAATGCGAAATAACAGGATATACTCCCGAAACTTCGAAACCGAACCCTCAGCATTCTGAGATTGAACCAAAGGTAACTTATAAAAACAAAGCTGAAGGCTCACCGGCGTTCGCTAGACCCAGTGGACCAGCACCAGATAAGCATAAAATCACTAGGGCCGAGTTCGACTACATTCTACATCTTGGTATTATCCCTTCCTCTGATAGCTAATGGAAATCCCCTCTGATGGATTGTAGACCCCTCGCCCGTCAAACCATACCATTTAGGTACCCAGTATCTCATACCCAAGATTTTACAAACGGATTACAGGGTATGA